AGTTATGGACAGTTTTCTGATTTTAAAATGGATTTTTGTCCCCCCTTTTTTACGAAAATGGTGTAAGATATTAACTGGAGACTTCTTAAAGATAATAGATGATGACTTTTAGATATGTGAAATCACCTTTTCGTGTGTCGTCAGTACTTCCGGTCGCTAGCGGAAGCGAATTTAAAAAGTGCGTATTTTCTAACTTTTTTGTTTTTCAATATTTTTCATTTATTTTTGGAATGTTAATAGAAACCATTCTTATAATGCTAACGATATAATTTGTTTGAACATTCATTAATCCTAACTCTAGATATTAACATTTAAAAATCTGAAGCGGGTCCAATATGGCGGCTGCCTATGTCAACTCCGACATTTCGCAATAGGGGTTTTCAGAGGCAGCCAAGCGTTTGATTGAACGAAAGTAAATAAGGATAAATGAAATGTAAAGGAATACGGGGATTATCACGACGTTGTTACGTTGCAATTCTGTCTCAAACTAAGTTTAAATCGATGGTCGTCTCAAACGTCTTCTATAATTGGTTTCGGCTGGTTCTCAAAGAAGAAAAAGAAAAGAATAAATGTGCAAATGAAATACATACCTACTATCATTTGTTTTGCGAAAAAAAAATAGATCTTAAATCATAGTTACAAATAATAGTTTGAAGAAACAATATCGATGTATATAGTAAGTATTAAACGTTATCTCTTGTTTTACTCATGCACACTTGAGTCATATTAAACTAATAGGAAAGACAAACATAGTAAAACCACTTTTTAGCAGAACTGAGTTTATATTAATATTCTTGTCTCAAAGAATAGATTTAAGTTATTGAACATAAATGGTATCTGATTCTTTGGCCGTCTTCAGGCGACAGATGTTTTTCGGCGAAACATTTCAACCTTTTTATGAAAGTTTAATAAATAATAGGGATAGTTCAGTATGGGGATAAACAGAAAATTTTTAAAAGTAAAAAAATTATAGCAGTTTTGCTGATTTAGTGTAACTAATCTATCTATGCATAGAATTTGTAAATGTGTTAAAAACAATTTCTTTACCTTGAAATTTTAGCTATAAGAAAGTTCTTTTTTTATTTCCATTGAAGCTATAACACCTATTTAATTGGACATTCCAAAGAAAAGGCGCGAAGATTTACTAGTGGCGTTTGGCGCAAAAATATTAATAGTAACTGCCTTTCATTATTTAGAAATATATGAAAGTAGATTTAGAGCTGTGGTCCCAATAGCGTAATAGTAAGCGCTTTGGATTTTCATGCTGTCGACCCAGGTTCAATCCCCTTTGTTTCCATGAAAGTTTGATCACTTTTTCAGCTCGATTTTGCGGGGTATTTTTTCAGAATCAGACGGAAGACCTCTCGTTGCTCGCAACGAGTTTCTTTTCTAGTTATTGATACTGTCTTACGTTGAATTAAAGTAATTTTGGAATCAATTTCATGTATAGTCTGCAGACTGGCATCTGCACGTGAATAATGCAAACGAAAGAGCACAAACTATACAAGATACCCACACGTCATACATAACACAGCTTATGCAATGCACATTTTGTTTACTACAAAACTCCTCGGGTGTTTTGGTTCGGTGGTGAAAACAAGAAACCCATCTGAACTATAAGCCAAGATTTCGGAGGAACCGTTTTCTTTGGCTAATCGCAGATTCACTCTTACATGACCCCAAATATGATGTTGTTAGATGTTTGAGAAGCAGTAGCGGATTCGGAACATCTAATTTTAATTAGATTGCATCCATCTGTGACATCAGTTTGGAATGTTATTGGTTTTACTATTAAGTAAAGTATTACAAAAACAGAATGCCTGTTATTTTTTCTCTGATAACATTGGACAAAGATATGCATACTTAAATATCATCATTTCATGCACTTTTTTCGGTACATATTAGATGAAAGCATGCTAACCGCTTTTCAGTACTTTCAGTACTTTGATTATAGGATACAGTTATAATAATTTTGGACTCACATGTAACAGTACATAATAATTCAAAGTTATAATACAATATTATACAACAATGCTGTTTTGATATATACAAACATCTGACAATAAGGTAGAGATATTACACAGATAGAAATTATATCAATATGTGGGTTAACCTGATAAATATTCGTTACGTAATATTACTATTAGGAAAAATTGGATATACTGTAGAAGTATATTTTTCCGCGTGGTATTAATTTACGTTATGTACGCGGTCAAAAATTTTCCGCGGAAATTTGTCAAAGCGTACTTAATTTAAATGTAAGGCATATAGTGACAGTCTGAGAAATCCGCGTAATTTTCTACTCGATTATCAGGCAGAAATGAAGATTCCACGGAATTATGACCACGTGGAAAAAAGTACGTCTACAGTATTTCCCTAAACCAGCCAAAGTAGATATGCGGTTTGTACTTAATATTTGGATTAATTTTAATTCACTTGGCGATTTGTAATAATATTCATTTATATATTTCTTTATTAGATTTAGATATATAGGACATTGGAGAAGGAAATGAAGCTCATCTTCTATTTGATGACTATCACAAACATCGCATATTCTATCATCTCTGCTCTTGTCTGGCACCTTCCGCATTCTATGTTAAGATAGTGCGACGAAATTCAAGTATGATGCGGGAAATATACCTTTTTAAATTACTTTGAAAATGTTTTGTTAAATAGGGTTGCATTTTACAGAAATCAGATTAGACAATGTGCTTATGTAAAAAACATTTTGTCGAATTATCCATAAATGCATTGCACTCTTGGAGGTGTATATCTAGGATTCTGTTTTTATATATATGTATGCAAGAAATGAGCAAAGTTTAATACTTGTTGATTCATCCAAAATTCTCCCAGACCCCACCTAAATAATTCAAGTTTTACGTCAAGTCTAACACTAATTACCCACTCTCTCACTCCAGTCTCATACATGTTACGCACTCTCTCCAGTCATTACTTAATCTCTCCATCACTCCAGTCTCACACTCATTACCCACTCTCTCACTCCAGTCTCACACTCATTACTCAATCACTGAAGTCTCACACTCATTACGCACTCTCTCCAGTCATTACCTACTCTCTACATCACTCCAGTCTCACACCCATTACCCACTCTCTACATCACTCCAGTCTCACACTCATTACCCACTCTCTCACTCCAGTCTCACACTCATTACTCAATCACTGAAGTCTCACACTCATTACGCACTCTCTCCAGTCATTACCCAAGCTCTACATCACACCAGTCTCACACTCATTACCCACTCTCTCACTCCAGTCTCACACTCATTACTCACTCACTGAAGTCTCACACTCATTACGCACTCTCTCCAGTCTAACACTCATTACCCACTCTCTCTCCCTTACTCCAGTCTCACACTCAATACTTTCACTCCAGTCTCACACTCGTTACCCACACTCTCACTCAAGTCACTCAACTCTCACACTTATTACGCACTCTCTCCAGTCTCACACTCAGTACCCACTCTCTCTCTCTCTCACTCCAGTCTCACACATAATACTTACTCTCTCACTCCAGTCTCACACTCATTACCCACTCTCTCACTCCAGTCTCAAACATAGTACGCACTCTCTCCAGTCTTACACTCATTACCCACACTCTCACTCACTCCGGTCTCACATTCATTACCCACTCTCTCTCACTCAAGTCTCAAACTCATTACCCATTCCCTCACTTACTCCAGTCTCACACTCAATACTTACTCTCTCAATCCAGACTCACACTCATTACCCACTCTCTGACTCCAGTCTCACACTCATTACGTACTCTCTCACTCCAGTCTCACACTCATTACCCACTCACTCCAGTCTCACACTCATTATGCACTCTCTCCAGTCAAACACTCATTACCCACTCTTTCTCTCACACTCAAGTCTCACACTCAATACTTACTCTCTCACTCCAGTCACACACTCGTTATCCACTCTCTCACTCAAGTCTCACACCCATTACCCACTCTCTCCATCACTCCAGTCTCACACTCATTACCCATTCTCTCAATCCAGTCTCACATTCATTACTCACTCACTAAAGTCTCACACTCATTACGCACTCTCTCCAGTCTCACACTCAGTACCCACTCTCTCTCTCACTCCAGTCTCACACATAATACTTACTCTCTCACTCCAGTCACACACTCGTTATCCACTCTCTCACTAAAGTCTCACACCCATTACCCACTCTCTCCATCACTCTAGTCTCACACTCATTACCCACTCTCTCACTCCAGTCTTACATTCATTACTCACTCACTGAAGTCTCACACTCATTACGCACTCTCTCCAGTCTCACACTCATTACCCACTCATTACCCACTCTCTCACTCCAGTCTCAAACACATTACGCATTCTCTAAATCTTACATCATTACCCACACTCTCACTCACTCCGGTCTCACACTCATTACCCACTCTCTCAATCACTCCAGTCTAACACTCATTACACACCCTCTCACTAACTCCAGTCTCATACTCATTACTCACTCTCTCTCTCGCCCCAGTTTCATACTCATTACCCTCACTCTCCATTATCACACTCAATTTGCACTCTCTCCAGTCTAACACTCATTATACACTCACTCACTCCAGTCTTTCACTCATTACCCACTCTCTCCATGTTCACTCTCAATACCCACTCACTCTAGTCTCACACTCATTAATCACTCTCTCACTCACTCCAGTCTCACACTCATTACCCACTCTCCCACTTACTCCATGTTCACTCTCATTGCCAACTCACTCCTGTCTCAAACTCAGTACACCCTGTCTCCATCACTTCTGTCTCACACTCATTAATCACTCTCTCATTCACTCCAATCTCACACTCTTGGCTCTCTCTCTCAATAACTCCAATCTCATAATCATTACCGGACAACAATAATGTTTGGTTTCTTTAAGGTAAAAAAAAAACCACACATGAAAACTTTGGATATCATGTATTTCAATTACAGAAATCAATATTTTTTACAAAAAGCAATGTTTGGATTCGAACACAATCTTCTGTTATTAGCAGTCTCTTAGATTCACATTTTCTTAACCTGAATTTATCTAAGTCCGAAAAACTTTAGAACACGGGTTCTGATGCTTTTTCTTGTCTTGGTTGGAGATGACTTCTGAAAAAGAAAAAGAACAAAAATGTGTAATCACAAAAAATATATGAAATTTTTAAAGAAAATTCAGTCACGTAAGAAGATATGTTTAAAACAGATTATCATATTTGTACCGATGTCAATCTAAAAAATACCTTTTCTGAACATGTTCCATGAGTATGGTCATCCAACGATGACGAATTTGGCAAGCTTGAAGATGGGTTAGGAGTATACTTAGCTAGATTTGGCTCATTACACTGAAAAAAAAGAGAACACTAGAATTAAGCAATATTATCGGTAATATCCTGTTGGAAAAAATTTGAACTAAAATAATATTTGTGGTATGTGTATATCTCCAAAGGAAAAAAATGAAATAAAATTTGTTTACCTTTGGGTTCTCCTTGAAAGATTCTATTTTGAAAAGAAAGAGTTTTCTGGGAACAAATGTTTCCTCCTCATTCTCCTCAGTAGCTTCAAGTTGTCTCTCTTTGGTGGAACTCTTTAATAAAAAAGGTGAAAGTGTTGGAAGAAAGGCAAACAATGTACAAAAGACAATTCAAGAGTCAATTTTAAAACTATTCATACAACTTACTTTTGATTTTTCTTGCATTTTTTGCTGGAATTGGCCGTGGTGTATCTTCATTGCAGAGGCTGTCTCCTATAAAAAGATCAAAACGATTCTCATAAACCAGACAGATAGAAGTAAAAATTCAAAATCATGGATATCTAAAAGAATAAAAACCAAACTTACCCTTGAACTTTGCTGAAGTTGGTTTTGCAGTTGTTTCTTTGCCATATTAATCACATTGTTGACAAACTCCTAAAAAAATACAAAACTCATTAACAACACTGAATCATTTTTATTCGTAAGGATATATTTTATGGATGACTGGATATTTTCTACATGTTTGGGACATTTATCTCAATATGAAGAATACCACTTTACCTCAAGTCCAAAATTATGAATGGTTGAAATTTCGCACACATAACAGAAGCATATGAACGATATTGAAGAAAAATTAAAATCTATGTTTATATTTCTTACCCTTACAATATCCTTTCGTACTTTTTCATTTGCAGCAATAATGATGTTTCTCACGAATTCCTGGAAAAAGTAAAAGAAGCTGTCAGATATAAAACTGCATATTATTTTAATGAGCTTCTTAAATTTGATTTGAATTCAACATTGAATCTTTCAAAGCAAACTTCACATGTATAATAAAACAGTAAAACACGCTTATTTCGGTATTTATAAGCGTAATTCATTACAAATGTACTATGAGTTTTATACAATATATCTTATAGTCAAGGGGCATGAAAACTACTTCTCTAAATGCGTCAATTCATTATAAGAGTGTTTGATATAAGCCCGTTTTACTGTACTGCTAACAATGTGTGTAAAATAACCTCAACCCATACCTTAATGACTCGATCTTTCTTTCTTTCCTCCACTCTCTGGGGAAAAAAGTAAAATGAGGTATTATGTAAATATTAAAGGCAAAAATATGTTAACATTCATGCACAACTTAAATGTGCATACATGTATCAAGTCAGAAATAATTAATTATAAAGTTATAGAATGTACCTACCACAAGCTCTCTGTGCACTGCGTCCATTATTTCTACTTTTCTGTGTATATCTGCTTGAATGTTGGTCCTATAATTGGTCCTTTTCGCTACCTTTTCCTGTTTTAATAAAAAAAAATGTATATAAGGATTCAGTGGTATTTTGTTTGAAGTATGTTTATATTTGTTGAACTTTAATAATTATTTTAAAATTATTTTAAATTATTCATATGCAGCTGATAATTTTAATTTGTAGACAATTCATCAGTAGGTTATTGATGGGATATCAATCAAGGTGATAAATTGCATTAAGTTGAACATCAAATCGTTCTGACAATTTTGGATTTGTCAATAAACAGGGTTTATTTAGCACTTCGATCTTCGGGAAAAAGTCTGAATCATTTACATGTATATACTACATGAATAACAATTAGAAATTCTTTTTACTCACCATGTATTCCTGCAGGACTTTTCTTTCAATATCTCGTGCAGTTTTCCTTCTTTGAACTTCGGTCTGAAAATATACAAAAATAAAATAAATAGTACTAAATATAGAAAAATAAAAGATACGTATTTTTGCCAGTATCAACAGAAACTTACCATACTGATAATTTAATGGTATTTTTGGCAAGTACATGTACTTTTTACCTTTAGTTCTCCATGAACACTCTTCATGAGTTCCCTTTTTCTAATCATCTCTGTCTGTAATTTTCCATCTCCCTTAATTTTCTGGCTATAGTGTCCTGGGATATGTATAGAAAGACTACATTTAAAACAACTTGATCAAAATTCACCGTTCATTAAATAAACGTTATAAAGTGAGTATACTTCCTACCCTAAGTTCTCCATGTACTGTCTCCATTTCTTCTTTCTTCCTCATCATGGCGGACCGTATTTTTAGCCTCTCGTTTGTCTTTCTGGTAATGGTGTCCTAGGATAAGTATAGAATTATTCATTTCATTTATTTCACCTGAAAAAGTTAACAAGCAAAAAAAAAAAAAAAAAGAAAAGTTGCTCAAAATCGAAAATCTTATTTCGTGGGGTGGGGTGGGGTAGGGGTAGGAGCCATTTTTTTTATTTCAACTTATTTCAGTACCAAATTTTGGGACTTACAATATTACATTTTCCTTATATCAAAACAAGATGGAGGGGGGGGGGGGACCAGCCTTTTGATGAACATTTCCTGTAGTATAAGTAATGTTGGGGCAAAAAGAGGGGGGGTTTAACCACCCCCACCCCCTATTTCTAAGTGCCTGCATATTGATCTAGAGGGGGAATTGGGTTGTAGTCCATAATATCTCACTGCATCCTTTCATTATTTTAATTAAATTGGCTGAGATATTAAACTTGTATGTCAAATTATGCTATCATTCCAGTTCAACTTACAATCAATTCTTGGTGAACCTTCCTCATCAGAGCTTTCATGATCTTCCTTCTTTCTATTTCTTCTAACGCCATTGTCTTAAAATAATTACATACAAAATCAGCCAGGGATTCTGGGATTCTTGATAAATATGAACAGTACGTATCAATTTAATTATATTTCATAAAAAACATACATTATGAATTACAGTTAAGACTACATAATGGAAAGGAATCATCGTTAATACATAAATCTGCTACATATGTACCTCTAATCTCTCTTGTTTTTCCACTTCCTCAGACCAACTGTAATTAAACTTTAATATTTCCAATTTGCTTTTCTAAAAAAAATAATGAATGGCATAAGATAAATTATAAACACAAAATACCAATATATACCCTCTTGTGTGTATTCAGAAAGGAAAAGAATCGAAATACAGTGAACAAAAAAGTCCAGCAATTTAAGTCTATAATACTGTTTCCGTATGAAACATAAATATATGTTTACCCCTTTGTCACTGAAATCCAGTATCTCATTGTAATTTACAGTTTCTTCTCTTTTTCTTTCTTCTAACTCCATTGCCTTAAACAAATAATTCAATACAAAATTAGACAAGGATTCTGGGGAATTGGATGAATTCGAACAATTTAATTATTTTTAATTTCATAACAACATTATGTATCACAATGTTACAGAAAAGGTCACATAATGGTAAGGAATTATCACTAAAAATAATAAAAATATTACATATGTACCTCCAATTTCTCCTGCTTCTCCATCTCCTCGGCCCAACTATATCCAAACTTCAAAATCTCTAACTTACTCTCCTAAATTAAGACAATTAATGACATTAGACTATTAAACATAAACACCAATAACTCTCTTTAGGTATTCAGAAAAAATGATAGAGTGAACAAACGTTCAAGTAATTAAAGTCTATCTATTACCTACATACAATCAGTATTAATTTTATCAATTATAAACTTATCCTTACCCCTTTGTCACTAAAATCCAATACTTCGCTGTAGTCCATCATTTTGTTTCAAAATTCTATAAAAGAAATTGTAAAATAGTGTTCGCTGAGTTTTTATAACTATAACTTAGAATTAACTTTGTGAAATTTACCAAATTAAGTAAATATGACATATTTGCAAATTCACATACTGACCCGCTTTTTGCTTAGTTCCTTTGTTTATGGTGATGATTGTGACGTAATCTAAACGTCAGATATCTGTGACGTCACAATCACAAAGCGCAGACAACTCCCAGGCAGAATTGTCGTTCGTTATTATCTCAAACACCTCTGAAAAGGGCATTTGACATAAAGTTAAAAGCATGATATCCAAATATGATATTAAAATTAACAAATAGTTTTAAATTCTTTTCATTTTATATCAACCTTATAGACAAATAATTAAATGGCATGTGTGTTTAAAATTACAACTAGATGCTGTCACGAGACAGTAATACCCGCACTAAGGTGTATGTCTTTTAAAAATACATACTCCAATGAAAAAGTCAAAATAATTGAATAATTTACACAGTTCATGTATTCGTCAAATCGACCTTTGAGACTAGAACTTATATGTATTCCATATACTTAATTCATTACCAGTCTGAAAAAATAGAATTAATTTTATAAATGATGTAAATTAGATTTTTATAAATTTTTTTTACCCTTATTGGAACTTTTTAAATTTATTTTCTAAACAACAAATAATATTATTTTAGTAGTTGTAAATCGTTTTCTGCAAACAGTTTTCAGTATTTCTTCTGGAAAAAACCTTGAAAAATCCAACTCAATCAATTTTACCAAACACCCCCCCCCTTCCACCCCCACCCTCACACACACTTTTTGAAATAGGTCTAGATAGCAAAGTTATGTGAAAACATCGTTGGCTTTGCTAATTTAAAATTTGTTTTTGTACTATACATGTTTACACTTTTTTGAAAATTTCTACATCACATCGGGTTTGCGTCATCCATAATCATATTTGTATATAGCACCACTCGGCACACATTGGCTGATTCTTTCTTCATCTGAAGAAGGCGACGGAATCGGCCAAGGTTTACCGAATGAGATTGCTGATAGTGCAGTGTGGTATGCATATCATTTTGTGATTTAATTGGATTAATATATTTCATGAAGATGACGGGACCTATGACAGTTGGTAAGTACAAGTTCAAGAATATAGATTGGGGTAAAATAAACCGAAATGCAAATGGTTAGGTTAAAGTTCAAAAAGGGTATTAGATCATGCGGCTTGCCACAGTAGATGAATTTCACATAAGTTATCTCCCGTTATTGACATATATTTTAAAAGTTACATGCGCAGATCCAGATTTAAAAAATCGGGGGGGATCCACACCCCAGTCAAAAAATTCCAGCCCAGAATTCCCTGAGAAGCAAAGGAAACACACAAAAAACATATAAACAATATAAAAACAATGATCGTGGGGTCCATGTTTTCGGGGGGGGGGGGGGGGGGGGGGGCTGCAGTAGATAGCCCAGTTTAAATAACTCTGCAAATTCAAGGTGAGGATGGGTTGTGGTCCGATCTCCCTAGCCACGCCCTCTCCCTGAAATGACAAATGATCTTGTGACTCCAAATTAGTAGTTAATTTTTCCATTGGACTATACATATTTTGTTTTTTGTGTTATATGTCTCTCTGTTTGCTTGTTTGTCTGAAGAAACTTTAACCTTGCCCATAAGTTTTAAGTGGGTTGGGCTATACACATGGCCTCCACATTTCATAGGTAAATTACTTGTGACAAGACCTTTTTAGGCTTTTATTTGGGTACCACCAATTTTGATCTCTTGACCTTGACCTTGGAGTTTGGCCCACTGTTACAAGAAAAATAGTTAACTTTAATCTTGGCCTAAGTTGAACAGCTGGGGCTAGAGATTTCATGCTTAACATGTGTATTTATTGTGAACTTTCAACAGGTATAGATATTTTTACTTGATAAGAAAGTACCAGGGATTTCTTATTGTACATGTGTATTCCTTGTTACAAGACTTTCCTTTTGATACCAACAATTTTGACCTTTTAACCTTGACCTTGGAGCTTGATTTACAATTGAGAAACTTCAATCTTCGCCATAAGATGCTATACGGGGACATCAGTGTTTCACAAACACATCTTGACTTCATTATTTTTAATTGGTGGTGTCTCCATGAGTGAAAAAGTCCAGAGAGAGATGTTTTCACATCAAAGTAACAAATTACTATTAAAAGTTATACATGTACATGTTTTTTATTCAACATATATATCTCTGGTCATATCTTTATTTCTCCCTTGAATCAGAAATGATGATATAAATATTTTAATAATAATTCTCATAAGAGTTGAAAAGGTTACGCATCTTAAAATTGACTAAGCTCTGTGGTTGAATTAGCTATACCAGTTTAGCTTTATTTAGCCGCTCAAAGCACCTTAATTAACAACAATGTATTTTCAATCATACTGTTTATTTAAATGTGCAGTTTTTTCAACATGAATACATGTTAATAGTTAAACGTTTTCAGCTTCTCAGAAAACTGCATTTTTGCGAAAGGTAGGGGACATTTAATCTCATTTGTCTATCAGCCTGTCCATCTGTCACAATAGATTTAATCTTGCAGCTCACCATGGTCATATCTTTTGAATGAGAAGAGTTAGGACTTTCATATTAAACATTGTGTATCAGTACTTACCAATGACAATATTTTCACATGACCTTGACCTTGAAGTTTGACCTACTAGTATTTTCCAAAAAAATTGTTTTGAATTGATCATTTGAAAGAGAAAAGATTGGGCATTCATAATAAACATGCATGTATATATTACCTGTGTTAAAACCTTTCCAAATGTATCATGACTTTTGATTCTGTGTCCTTGAAGTTTCACCTATTTTTCAAAAAATGTTTAATTTCCTTATAACTTTTAATTGTGAAGAGATACATCTTTCACATTTGACATGTACATTATCTGTAACTAGATTTTTTGCAGTATGCTATGATTTTTTACCCTTTGACCTTGATGTTTTACCCAATTTAATAATATTTAACTCTCCCTAAAGATGATTAGGCTACTGTGTAAAATGTAACAGTAGTCTGAGGAAGAAAAGTATGACAGAGGGACGGACAGACATGATTACGGTAACAACAATATACATGATATAGCCGAACTTTCTTTTGAAAAGTGCCGGTATAATAATATTTCATCATTCATTCATTCTATCTCTTTATCTCCCTCTAACTCTCTATATCTCTGCAAAAACAAAACTGTATTTGAATTTTAAAAAATCATTACCAACTCTCACTCACTCCCTCCAACATTAACAACAAACTATCTCACTCAAATCTCACACTCCTTACCCACTTTCTCACTCACTTCAGGGTAACACTCACTTCCCACTCTCTGTAGTATCACTCTTATTACTCACTCTCTTCAATCCTGTCTCACACTCATTCAACTCTTTCAGTAACCCCAGTGTCATACTCAGTACCAACTCTCTCACTCCGGTATCACACTCATCACCCACTTTCACAGTCAAGTCTCACACTCATTACATACTCTCTCCATCACTCCAGGCTCACACTCATTACATACTCTCTCACTCATTCCAGTTTCACACTCATTACCCAATCTCTCTCACTCCAGTCTCACACTCATTACCCTCTTTCACATTCAAGTCTCACACTCATTACATACTCTCCCCATCACTCCAATCTCACACTTATTATCCATTCTCTCACTCGAGTCTTACACTCATTACCCACACTCTTCATCACTTCAGTCTCACACTCATAATCCACCCTCTCAATTACTCAAGTCTCACACTCAAAATCCATTTTCTCACTCACTCCAGTCTCACACTCATTACCCACTCTCTCACTCACTCCAGTCTCACATTCTTTATCCATTCTCTCACTCACTCCAGTCTCACACTCATTACCCACTCTCTCACTCACTCCAGTCTCACACTCATTACCCACTCTCTCACTCACTCCAGTCTCACACTCATTACCCACTCTCTCACTCACTCCAGTCTCACACTCATTACCCACTCTCTCACTCACTCCAGTCTCACACTCATTACACACTCTCTCACTCACTCCAGTCTCACACTCATTACACACTCTCTCCAGTCTCACATTCTTTATCCACTCTCTCCAGTCTCACATTCTTTATCCACTCTCTCACTGACTCCAGTCTCACACTAATTACTGGACAGCAATGTTTGGTTCTTTTAAGGTAAAAAAAAAACACACTGATGAAAACTTTCGATATCATGTATTTCAATTACAGAAATCAATTTTACAAAATGGATTCAAAACACAATATTCTATTATTAACAGTCTCTTCGATTCACTTTTTCTAAATTTCTGAATTTATCTTAGTCCGAAAAACTTTAAAACACGGGTTCTGATGCTTTTTCTTGTCTTGGTTGGAGACGACTTCTGAAGAAGAAAATGAACAAAAATTTGTATAAGCACAAAAAAGTATTTGAAAAGTCAATCAACTGAAAAGTTAGAAAAAACGTTTTAAACAGATTATAATATTTTTATGGATTTCAATCAAAAAGATACCTTTTCTGAACATGTTCCATGAGTATGGTCATCCGACGACGACGAATTTGGCAAGCTTGAAGAGGGGTTAGGAGTATACTTAGCTAGATTTGGCTCATTACACTGAAAAAAGAGAATACTAAAATTTAGCAATATTATTGGTAATATCCTTTAGGAAAAAAATTTAAATTAAAATAATATTAGTGGAATCTAAAGAATGTAAAAAATTAAATAAAATGTTGTTTACCTTTGGGTTCTCCTTGAAAGATTCTATGTTAAATAGAAAGAGTTTTCTGGGAACAAATGTTTCCTCCTCATTCTCCTCAGTAGCTTCAAGTTGTCTCTCTTTGGTGGAACTCTTTAATAAAAAAAAAAGTTGAAAGTGTAAGAAGAAAGGCCAACAATGTACAAAAGACAATTCAAGAGTTAATTTTAAAACTATTCATACAACTTACTTTTGATTTCTCTTGCATTTTTTGCTGGAATTGGCCGTGGTGTGTCTTCACTGCAGAGGTTGTCTCCTATAAAAAGAAAAAAAAATGTTTCTCATAAACCAGACAGATAGAAGTAAAAATTTAAAATCATTGATATCTTAAAGAATAAAAACCAAACTTACCCTTGAACTTTGCTGAAGTTGGTTTTGCAGCTGTTCCT